GTTGCACCTGAATGAGTCACCCGCACAGGCCCGCGGCGAAGTGGCCCACAACGAACTTCCCGGCTACCAGAGTGTGGAATCCAGCGGTTTCTCCCTGGGACCAATGAACCACGAAGACACAATGGAAGCACTCATTGAAGCCTATGACGAACTTGTTCACCTCAGGCCTAACGCATTTAGGGTTCCCAATGGAGACGTTGGCAAAACGTTCATCACCCAGCTGAGCCAATATTTCCGCTGTTTCGGTGAACAAGGGTCATTTGAACGTTACGCCTTCCTGATTGCAATGGTCTTCCAAAAGCTCCTTCTGCAAAAACCAGTGGACAGCAACCGTCCTTCACATTCCTATGTGGATTGCCTTCGCCGCCGGCTATGAGTCTGGGACAATGGCGACATAGAATCTCTGCTTCACGAAACCCGCACCATACAACAGCAGTTGTGCGATCGCGATGGGTCTTCGAAGAGGAACACCGATAATCCAGCCAGAAGCTTTGCTTCACTGGTCCACTCTGGTAAGCTCAAGTCTGCGCTGGACATGCTGTCAGAGGAAACGAGAACAGGCCTCCTGCAGTTAGATGACCCAGTGGACGAAACCACTTCCGTTAGGGACGCCCACCATGCCAAACACACACAAGCGGAACCTATTCGCCCTGAGGCCCTAATCTCAGGCCCTCCACCGCCTCAACCGCATCCTGTTATGTTCGACAACCTGTCCCGTGAGGCCATCCGAAAGGCTGCTTTGCACACTCATGGAGCAGCCGGGTCTTCTGGTGTAGATGCAGATAATTGGCGGAGAATGGTCACTGCCTTTTCGGCGGCATCGGACACGCTGTGTGACTCCCTGGCTAGTTGCGCACACCGGTTGGCCACTATATCTGTGGACCCGCTATCACTCGAGGCGTTCACTGCCTGCCGCCTGATCCCGCTGGATAAATGACCAGGGGTGCGCCCCATCGGCATTGGGGAAGTCGTCAGAAGGATCGTGGCCAAAGCCATACTGTCGGTATCAGGTAATCAGATCCAGGAAGCTGCTGGTACTCAGCAACTCTGCGCTGGACAAGAGTGCGGTATCGAAGCGGCCATCCGTACCGTGCAGGATGCATTCGACGATGACGAGGTGGATGGTGTGCTATTGGCTGACGCCTCGGACGCGTTCAACCGACTTAACCGACGGGTCTGCCTAAGGAACATTCGTCACCTTTGCCCATCCCTGGCCCCCACTATCATCAATACGTACCGCCATCCCGCCAAGCTCTATGTGGATGGCGAATGCTTGCTATCCTGTGAAGGCACTACCCAGGGTGACCGGTGGCGATGCCGATGTACGCCCTTGGCATCGTACCCTTGGTCCAGGCCGTCAACTCACCCGACATTACCCAGGTGTGGTACGCGGATGACTCTTCCGGCGGTGGAAGACTTCGAGGCCTCCGCACCTGGTGGGATGGGCTGACTGAGCAAGGAGATGCCTATGGATACCACCTCAACGCCAGCAAATCCTTGCTGCTGGTGAAGGAGCGCGCATATGATGAGGCGGTTGCACTCTTTGCTGGCACGGGTGTCCAGATCGTTAGAGATGGCTGTCGTCACTTGGGAGCCGCTTTGGGCACCCGAGAGTTTCCGGCTGTCTCGGCTATCCAATTTGCCCGGACTCAACCCCAGGCCGCCTACTCCGCATTTGTCCATGGTCTACAAGGCAAGTGGTCTTTCTTGTCCCGGACCTTGGAGATATCATCTGAGGAGTTTGGTGGTCTGGAAGCCGTCATCAGGGAGCACCTCATCCCAGCCCTTACTGGTCGCCTCTCTCCCGTCCAGTGTGGAGCGGCTTATGCTCTGGTCACAGATTCCCTTGTCGGGATGGCGGTTTGGGTCTCTCGATTCCCACCGCCCAATCTCGCCACTATGCCCGCTCCCGAGCTGTTACTAATGAGCTCAAGGAAAGGATTGTAAAAGGCAGATCCTTCGCCAGCTGGTGTGGCAGACGCTACCAAGACCGCCACACGGGAAGTCCGCACTGCAACTCGGGCATCACAGCAACAGCTGAAGGAGGGATTTGTGAGCGGTGAAGGTGCTGTACATGCGGCTCAGCTTGAGATTGCTTCCGAGCGTGGTAGCTCTGCTTGGCTGACGTCACGTCCTCTATCCTGCCATGGCTTTCGTCTCTCTAAGCATGAGTTTCGAGATGCTCTGTGTTTGCGCTATGGCTGGGTGCCCGAGCATTTACCGTCATCCTGCGTTTGTAGCAACGCGCGCATCGACGTCTCCCACGCGACGTCACCATGTTTGATATACGGGTTTTCAACCCCTATGCTGCTTCGAATCGTGCTGCCTCAATCCCCGCTGTGTATGCCCGCCATGAACGCGAGAAGACGAGGAGATATGAGGAGAGGACTCGGGAAGTCGAGAGGGCCTCCTTCGTGCCTGTCGTCATGTCGGCTAGTGGTGGTGCTGGGAAAGCCGCCACAGTTTTGTACAAGCGCTTGGCTGCTCTTATCTCGGAAAAGAGAAACGACTGTAATGGGTAGCCGAGTGGTAGGCGCGGTGAAATCAACAAGAATTACTTTTATTCTACTTCTTTCAGGTACACACCTGAGATATAATTATTAGTGAAAGAAGAAACGGCAAAATGACTGACTTTCTCTCCGGTGCACACCTGGAGGTTGAATAGCTCGTTATTAACAAAATCTCATCTTCATCAAAACAGAAATGCGCAGCCGCTTATATGCAGCAGACGCCGTACGCTTACATACGGAGATACACTAAATATACATCAGGCAAAGCTCCGTATTAGTTCCGTACTGCTTCCGTATTGGTCGGGCAGGGATACTACACCCTCCCTTCCTACAGATAATCACGCCCTCGTGATTTTCAAAAAATTAGTGAAGAGTTACGAACACAGCGTCAACCGGAAGATGGCAAATAATATATCGGAAATGATAACGTTTAGAGTAGACAGAAGAAATGAACTGATAACAAATCATAAAGTGGAAGTAAAAGCACACAAGGTTCACACGATCTCACGGGGTCAAAAGGGAAAGAACTGTCCTCCAAATAGGAACTGAAACCACAGCACTCTTGCTGCACTACGCTGGCACAACCCGCCAGGAACATCGCAGTTCAAAAACCGAACTGAATACACTATAACTATAAGGGGCGTTGTCACACACATTGTCCCACGTTAGCTGGGTAAACCGTGGCTCACCATGATCAGACGTCTACCAAACTAAACTGGATTCACACACTCGCATAAAGGAAGACTGAAAAGAACAGGGAGACTGAAGGAAGAGAGGAAAGAAAATGCCATACCTAGAATCAGCGTTATCGTTATCGGCTGGAGCTACGGCGGAGGGCAAGCCAGGTTTTATCTTCATCTTGGTTGAGCCGGTCACTCAGAGCGGCTAGCTCGGCGTCAGACAAATGACCTCCCTCCTCGACTTGAATCGTGGTCTTCACATTGTCGATAGCATCGCTTTGCGTGACGTAAAGAGTGATGGTCTAGCCAGGAAGAGTGTTGACGAAAATCTGCATCCCACCACGAAGACGAAGTACCAAGTGAATAGTGGACTCCTGCTGAACGTTGCAGTCACTCAGGGTTCGGCCGTCTGCCAACTGCGTGCCGGCGAAAATCAAACGCTGCTGGTCTTGGGGAATACCCTCCTTGTCTTGGTCAGCAGCCTGCATGTCGTCGTCCTCATCAGCTTCGCCATCACCACCGGTAGTATACATGTAGGTAGCGGGTCGCTTGGAATCGCCATCGGAGTCTCCAGTGAGTGCCGTGCGGAGAGAAGGGTGATCCACGCTAGCACCCTGACTGTGCTGCAGGCTAATAAGCATGGCCAGGCCCAGAAAAGCATGAAACACGATTCTCATCTTGATTCGTCGCACGGAGCTGCAGCGGGTTGAGCCATGGGGGTCTGGGGTCGAAACACACCGCTGCCACCAATGTAATGGGTAGCCGAGTGGTAGGCGCGGTGAAATCAACAAGAATTACTTTTATTCTACTTCTTTCAGGTACACACCTGAGATATAATTATTAGTGAAAGAAGAAACGGCAAAATGACTGACTTTCTCTCCGGTGCACACCTGGAGGTTGAATAGCTCGTTATTATCAAAATCTCATCTTCATCAAAACAGAAATGCGCAGCCGCTTATATGCAGCAGACGCCGTACGCTTACATACGGAGATACACTAAATATACATCAGGCAAAGCTCCGTATTAGTTCCGTACTGCTTCCGTATTGGTCGGGCAGGGATACTACACGACCAGTATTCTGCCACCATGGCGTGGATTCGCACTCGGTTGTGCTTTGCGCTGGTGAGGTCGAGCATCATGTGTTTGCGTGGTGCCAGATCGTCCAAGTCCCGCTACCTCCAGCGAGATCCGGTTGCGGTTGTCGTTGCGGAGGCACACCTGCGGCCTGAGGCATCTGACTAGTAAAAATAACACACACACACACACACACACACACACACACACACATTTAAAAAGCTGCTTGGACTGAATTTCACTTGTTTTATTAGTGTATTATAGTTACTGCGCAGTACTGTGCCTGCTAGCCACAGTACAATCATAATCATAAGAACTATTTTTTGGTTTTGCCCGCACAAGAGGCTTTTCACTTGTAAAAAAAAATTACGACTCCCTAGCTGGCCTGGTACATGGTACCAAGAGTACATAACCCCCAAGAGTACATAAAAGTAAATTTAGTTCTTGAAGTGCATGGACACGTACATGGCGCATGGCCTGCATGCTGGTCACCCTGGCCTAGCGCCTGGCGCATGGCCTGCGCATGCATAAAAGCAAGAGTAAACAAACAGTGCGCTGTTTATCAGGGAGTCTATGCTACTACTCTTGATGAAATAATTAGAAAGTCGACACCAGTGCCTATTTTTTTGTACACAAGTCACGTGTACAGTCGGCAGGGGAGTCGTAAAATTATTATACCACACCATATATATACCAATCCATTCATGCTGGATTTCGCAACTCAACTCTCAACGACTCAAGTGGTGTTTTGGAGTGATGATTGCTCGCGTATTCTTGGGGTGATTAGCTAGGTTGCGATGGAAGTCTTTTGAGAAGTTAGAATTCTTCCGGACAGGTCTGGTTGCTTCAAGTAATAACTGCTCTGCACACAGCAGCTGACAGTAAGTAGGAGCAGGAGCTCTCCACGGGAGGGTTTATAAGTTGCCTTCAGCATGGCCAAACGAACGTCGAGTAGTACGTCTTTCGGCTCGGAGCTCTGTCCACCAGAGAAGATGCCTCGGATCACGCTGCCGCCGCAATCGCCTCAGCCGAGCTTTGCCGTGTCACGCTCCTCCAGCCCCCTCACTGTGGAATTAGAGCGGAGAAAATGTATTGCTGTGATGACGAGCGGAGGGGACTCTCAAGGTACTCGTATGTGTTTCTCAATTCTAGAAATTTGGGAGATTAGATTTTTTTTAAATAATTATTTCATAGCAATGGAAAGTGTGAACTGTGCACTCTTTCTAAACACACATCAAGGCCATGTTGGTGGGTTAAGTACCGTACTGGCAATATATGTTGCCGCGTAACGCGTAACGCAGGGGGGTGCGGCGTAACGCGCGACCAGGCTAGTGCGACAAATTTTCGTTGCGTTCGTAACGCGCGTCCGGCGGGGTGCGGCGATCTTTTCATTGCAGTTTGCAAAAAATGATGCGGCAATAGCAAAAAAGTGATGCGGCAATAGCAAAAAAAGGACTGCGGCAATATAGAAACCTGTGTAACGGCTCCTGTGCGACTTTGCATGTAACGCCCTGCGTGCGGCAAACATGTGCTAATGTAACGCTTCATGGCCTCACTGCGACCATATATATTGCCAGTACGGTAGTTCCAAGAACGTTTTCTTTTGATAACGCGTTTCTGGATCGATGTACAGTCTATTTCAAAACTATAGACGCGCAGTGTTTTTGAAATATTTCAAATTTGGCTGGAACTTTTTGAGAATAGTTTTCGGAATATTGCTCAGGTCCGCTCCACAATTACTCTCATAATTATAGTTTCTAAACGATTGGATAACAGACGCCCAATTTGGAAAAATTTATGCACAAAGTGATCACAGATTTTATGTGGTATAGATGCTGGCATAACGGTTTTTGCCTAGGCACGCGTCTATAGTTTTGAAATGGACTGTAGGATAAGGGAAAAAATATTATTTTAGTGTATTTCACACAACATAATTATTACATGTTTCTAATAGTACTCAGTCTGCGGACAGAAATATTTCGTCCTTTGTGGACTCATCAGCGCAGCACAGAGAAAATGAGGCCGAGCCTGATAGCAATGAAAATTAAATTTTCCGAGTACATGTGCACTGTATGTATGTTGTGTGAAATACTCTAAAAAAATTGTTTTTTTTTCAAAAAAGCATGTTGCTCGTATTGATCGTACACAAGCAATAACCTACACACGGCGAGGCAAAGAGAAACAAATCTGAATGAAGAATTAGCAGTTATTAGAACTCAAGCTTCATGTGTTGCTCAAGGAAATCCAGTCGTCTCAAGTACACACCGGGCGTGGCACAGCCCTAGACCTGCGGATAGTGTTGAAACGATCTCACCGGATACTCGTTAGCTCGCTCGCCAGAAACTCGGCTCGTTTGTGCGGCCAGCTCGTTTGCACTAACGAACACCGTACACCGTACTCCGTACACATGGCAGTACATGTCGACCGGGGAGTCGTAAAATATTTTACGATTCCCTGGTCGATCGAGAGTCCAGTCCCTCGCAAAGTGAAAATCACTCGCAGTTACAGGTGACTGTATGCCTGCACGACACTTGAGTTGTTTCAGTTGTCGTTGCAGCTTTGGTGGACTCTACTGATGTCTTGTTCCGCATCTGCTGACCTGTCGCAGGATATGCTTCGGTCACCTCTCCATTCGAGTGAAAGTTACGCTCAGTCGTTTGGAAGTTTTCTCCCGCGATGCAGCGAAGACCAGGGCTACTTGCAATCTTTGCAAAACGGTCTATTCTTACAAAGGCTAATCGACGACGGCGCTGAAAAGACATCTCGACACCAAACAGCAGTCCGAAGTGAAGCAGCAGCAACCCCAAATGCCGGCGGTGATAATTTGAACCAGCTGAAAAAAATCGAACTTAGAAAAAAAATATTCAAAAAAATAATCATATTTGCCACATCAATGAAACTCGTTAGCTCGCTCGATAGCTTGCTCGTTAGTGGAACTGATCGCTCGTTTGTTATAGATACGCTCGTTTCAACACTACCTGCGGACACTGGGATTCGAAATGATGCAAGGCGCAAACTTGAGTGACGCGACTGGATTTCATTGAGCAGGACCATACATGCATGTGAAAATCAGTCTGATTTCAATTATCCGAAATAACGCCCGGGCCTGAATTGACGCTCCTGTTCTGGACGTTTACTTTAATAAGTAATACGTTTCCGCCCAGGGCCTTATTACGGGCTTTTACGGCACAGGATCACTGATCACTGCTCACGATCAGCCGTGGGCTTTACCTGCACGTACGGTTTGATCTCCTTGCTCCTTGGGAAAGGCAGCAATACAACCTGCAGGATTCGTGCGACAATTGTAGGTTGAAATGTCCTGCAATTGACGGCTCTGCTCTGCGCTTCGAAACAGAGGATGAAGCTAGCAGACTCGTGTCCCGAAATGGATACAGTCAGACCTCGCTTAACAGCACACATCTGTTTCCACAAAAAATATCCGGATAGGCGAAGATAATCGCACACACATACTGTATGCATGCATGGCATGTGCTGTAAATTGGTAAACCAACGATTTTCTTCCGGATGGCGAGGGATCCGGATAAAAGAGGGCTGGATATGCGAGGTCTGACTGTATCCGGGTGCTTTGTGTGGACTGCCTGCTCTCATCTGTACCCTTGCACTCAAAATTGAAATTGTCACTGCAAAACACCACATCCTGGGTAACGCTTGTGTTGTTCGCATCCATTTGCTACGAAGTTGTCAATGACCTGACTTCCAACTTCTAAGCCCTATATCATAGTATTCAGCTACATGTATGAGAATGTAGTTTTTAAATTGTTGTGTGTGTGTATGTGTGGGTGTGTGCGTGGCATGTGTGGGCGCTTGTGTGGGTGTTTGTGCTTGTGGTCATGCTTCAGGTATGAACGCGGCTCTGCGTGGACTGGTCCGAATGGCCATGTATCGCCACGCCCGAGTGTTTCTGATCTATGAGGTGTGTAGTCTGTGTTGTATGCTGTTTGAGTTCAACTATGGACTCTAGTGGGGACTTTCTTCAGGGTGTAAAAACTCTACTGTATCTATGTCATCTCTCACACATTCATAATTACACCACTACCGAAACCAGTCTGTCAGCTAATAATTCTTCCGAAAAAAAATCTAGTTCTATCAAAAATTGCACAAAGGTTGCCAACGCATTCCGCATGTCTTCTCCGGATGATGAATGCATCTCAAACAGTGGCGTTGGTGCATAGTTCCGGTAGCACGGCAAGTGGCCAAGATGACGTCGCTCAATGATGTTGTGGAGTGCGCAACAAATTAGACCTGCCTTGCTCACAAACTGTGGATCATTGGAGTTGGTCTCATGCACCACGTTGAACCTCTCCTTCAGCCGGCCGAACGCACATTCAACAACACGCCTAGTTCGAATCTGCGTGTAGTTGAAGCTTTCTGCAGCGGGAGTGACGTTGTCTCCAGCGATGATTTTCATCAGAACTGGACTCAATGCAAAGGCACTGTCTCCAACCACAAACGGCCTCACTGTCTTGCCATTGCATTGCCACGTCGCAAAGTTTCCCCATTCTCCAGCAATCAGCTTGGCCTTCAGGGCACTGCCATTGAATACAGCGGCATCACCAACACTTCCAGGTGCGCCAATATCCACAAATGTGAACAGGCCTCGGGAGTCCACACATGCCAGGAGAAGAATAGCCGAATGCTGCTTATAGCACCAATACGAATCTCCGTAATCTTCTGGTTTCACCATGCGGATAAATGTGCCGTCAACAGCACCACAGCATAGGGGCAACGTGCTCATTTCTTCGAAACGTCTCATTGTGCGCTGCAGTTGCTCACCGACTGGAAATACTATGCTGTCTGCAGTCAGTGGCGCAACCAAAGACTCAACCAACTCATGCACAATGGCCCTGGCAGTAGTCGTTCCTACGTGAAACAGTGCACCAATCTCTGAGAACGTTTCACCCTGGCCGAGGTAGTACAATAGAATAGCCAGGCGCTTGCCAGGGGAGATGGTTCGTCTCAGATGCGTTGTTTGCTTCACGATCAGGTGGCGATACCTCTGGAGAAGAAATCTAAATGTTTTCTGCTCCATGCGAAAATTCGCAATCCACGCAGTCCTCCACCAGTCGATAGATTGAAGTTTGGCACGCTCCCATGTCCCCAAAACCTCCTTCTCCCAAAATCCGCAAGGCGTTCCAAACTCGTTCTCAGGGTGAGCTGTCCACAAGTTGCGACCAATTCTGTATTTGACGGTACCATTCCGCAACAGCATGCTGAACATCGTCGTGACCATGAAATTTGAGCAACTGTGATCAGTCATCTTGAAAATATCAAGAACAGGACCGCCATCAGACGAATTCACTAGCTTCTGCAGGTCCTGCAACATCATGGCGGCAACAATTTTACGTCGTCGCTTTCTCCTTGCCGGAGTCAACCTGAGGTCCATGGGCATGGCTCCAACACGAAAGATGCAGAACGAAATCGAAGAAGAACACACAGCATGCACTCGTTCTGAGAGCAAAATTTTTCATCCCAACTGCACTACATTTTTCTTGTTGAATTTCTCGCCACCACAAGGCTACCATGGCAATGAATACGTAAAAAGCAGATCACCTGCTAGTGTGCAACTGCACTTGATCAGACTGGCGCATACGCAACGTATGCTCAAGTTAGTTGCGTTTTACATGTACGTAGTGTGTAAGGGGCCTAACTGCTACTTGGTCCGACTTATTAAAATGTGCGTTTCGCTTCGAACGTCAACCAAACAAATTCAAATAATCTCAGGACGGAATAAACTTTACAGCTACCTAACACTATCCTTCAGTTGTCAATTTGTGAAGTTCAAGAAGAAATGGCTCCAACCCCCAACGGAGGCAGCGGCTCGGGATCCTAGTCGACTCGAGAATTTTGCGTCCAAATTTTGTCGTCAGAGGACTCCTGTTGCTTCTCGCGCAAAACAGAGAAGGCCTGATGCTGAAATCAACACCCCGCTGCGATGGGGGATTGTCACGGAGTACCAGAACCTCCTGGGCGATCGTTCTCGAGTGCCTCCTGGCGGATTGAAATCACTGCAATCGCTGTTTCCTTGGCAGAATTTCAGCAAACGCGTCACCCAGAAACTCGTGCAGAAAGCACCAGCATCGCTCCGTCCAGTTTGCTGATCTCTCTCGCAGTCGTTCACGATGTGGCGGCCGACGAATCAAGATCACAGAAGTGATCGTCGAGAAGTTGATCGAAATAAATAACCGGCCTTGAGGTCGACTTTCAGGCGACAACCTGGCTGGAAAACTGAAGCGCAGAAAGGGTTAATTATCTGGCGGATACGGTGCGGAGTGCTCGGAGCCGCGATCGCGATGCGTCACAAGATCGCCAGTCTCCGGGGCCAGTGGATTCGTGAAACAGGCAGGAAAGAGCACGCGCGCATGGTCTGACTGCATGACATGTCGACACAGATCAGACCAGGGAGTCGTAAAATACCAGGGTATTTTACGACTCCCTGGATCAGACTCATGATCAGTAGACCTACGCGCCCGGTACACGGTGGTCAGAAGTGATTTTTTATGCGTGGTGGTTTACTTGTTCGCCTCATTTGAAGGTGTCGTGGGAGCTTCAGGCGAAAACACCTACAGCCGCCATTCTGGTAGTGGTACTGCACGAGGAGGAGGCGAAGTTGATCGTCTAAATCGTGCCTATGGAGTGAAAAAATCAAAGAAGCGGAGTGTAGCTTGGAGGAGATGAAAAAAATGTCGACGTTTTGCAGGTTGACGCACTTGCAGATGCGCCCTGAGACACCAGCAGCGATGAAAACTAGAAGGTCAGGCCAAGAAACGACACAGTAGTTATCTATCTACCGTCTCTTGGTTGATTTTTTAGTACAGGTGCTCCTTTGTACATATGCTTGAGTTTTGAAGTGAAGCGCACATTTTAATAAGTCGGACCAAGTACAAGAATTGAGCACTCCTCGGTAAGTGTTACACTGAACTTGATTACGAATGTTTCCTATCTAATACAGTCGACTCCTGATATAGCGCACACCGTTGTGCGGGAGAATCAGTTCTCCATAGCCGAAGTTCTTTTTGACAGAAACTCGCTCTCACCATACAAACGACGCGTCATGGCTGGTATCAAGAAGAGTACATGAAAATCAGAGTGTGCAGCTTGGGGCCTTTTCTGCTATGGGTGTCTGTCACGGCGGAATTCCGTGATTACATCATATTTGGCGCAGATCTGAGACGGGAAATGGCGTAGTGCGTACAACTGAGCTGCAGTTGTGCAGAAAGAGACCTGCTTGAATCCTGCTCGTACGCACTACATCACTAAAATGATGTAATCACGGAATTCCGCCGTGACAGCAACCCATCCGAGCTGCACACTCTGGTTTTCATCTACTCTTGCTGGTATCCAGACCATGGCAGTACGAGTCCACTCGGTCTTCATGCGGCACTACGAGATGTGGTTCGTTGCAAACGAAAACCGTTCGCCGCAAACGGTCAATTTTGTATTGGCTCCAGCAGGGATACGGACACTGGTTTGCTATATCATGAAATTTGCTGTTAATATTTTTATTTAAATAACCGACGAGGAGACAACAGTCGTAAAATAGCAATGAAAAATATCAATTGTGCACTCATAACCATGTATAAACAATTAAAATGAAACAATTCCAGAACGTTTTCGTGTGACCATCATCAGTGGAACATCGTCACATAGTAAGAATCACTAAAACAACCAGTTATATAGCTAGAGTAATATGAAAAGGAGCGTGAGAATGCAGCACAGCTAGCGGTTATGCATAACGCGTGTAGTGTGAACCTTTGCAGTGTATCTGAGAATGGTAGCAGTAGATGAATGTGGCAGCTGTGAGTGCGTGTGAACACGTGACCCTGTTCTATGCAAGCAAAAAGAAAATGTTGTAGCACTCACACTTTTTAAATAATACGCACTCACCAGTTTTTGTTCACACGCACTCACAGCTGCCACATTCATCTACTGCTACCATTCTCAGATACACTGCAAAGGTTCACACTACACGCGTTATGCATAACCGCTAGCTGTGCTGCATTCTCACGCTCCTTTTCATATTACTCTAGCTATATAACTGGTTGTTTTAGTGATTCTTACTATGTGACGATGTTCCACTGATGATGGTCACACGAAAACGTTCTGGAATTGTTTCATTTTAATTGTTTATACATGGTTATGAGTGCACAATTGATATTTTTCATTGCTAATATTTTTATTATGCAAGTTTGTTGTACCAACGCATATGGCCGATCGGTTTGCAGGCCTGCCTGTGAATCATGAGGTCCCGAGGTCGAGACCAGTGCTGGCAGCAGGGAGCGTGTAAAAATACTTTTTACGCGTGTTGAACTGCGCCGACACCCACGGTCAACTGGGTACTCACAGCTCGGAGTGAGGATAACAACGATGTAGTTTACAGCGTTATGGGCCGTTACACGCCCGATTGGTTGAGAGACTGACCTCCTCTCCCCTGACTCACTTGTGAGGTCTGCATTCGCCGCTAAGGTGAAAAGGCATAGTGGTGGCCTGCGGACGCGAAGGCTATAGCTTGTGTGTTTCTGAACAGTCAAGTGATGCTAACGCGGATCCCGGGAAAATTATTATTATTATGCACGTTCGTTATACGTGGAGTAGACTTTGTGGTGTATCGAGTGTATTAAATGTACTTATACACCTAACTATTTGCTGCCCAGTGACTGCGTTCCATTATGCCAGCGAATCGATTCGCGCTATTCACATCACCCCATGTGAATAGGGTGAATGGATTCCGAATCGATTCCAGGGCTCATGACATGAAATCGAATGGCGAGATTCCATTCATGAATCGATTCAAGTGCGCACTCGAACGCACTCAGTGTGTTTATGCAGTACTGCTTGGTGAAATACAGTCGAGTCACTCAAGTACGCGCCGGGCGTTGCACGGCTCTAGACCTGCGGACACCGGGCTGCGGAATGATGCAAGGCGCCCGACTCGATTCGCGCGACCGGATGTCGTTGATCAGCGCTGCACTCGCGACAACAAGTAATGCTTGTCTGCTTTCTCTTTTGCCCTGGTGTGCATGCGTTGCTGAACTAACGCTTCTTGCTGTTGCTGTGTGGCGGTGTGTGGCTTATCATGTCAGGGTTACCAAGGACTGGTGCAGGGCGGAGATCTCATCAAGGAAACAACCTGGTACGGAGTCTCGCACATCATGGGAAAGGTAAATACTAAAATACTGTAGGACATGTTATTATCACGAGTTTCTAATCCATAGGCTAACGAAAAGATAAGATAACGAGCACAGCATAACGGCGGTATAAAACTCCCTGTAGTGTAAAGCTGGGAATTTTCAGTTGCGTAATATTTTCGGTATTTCCAAAATCAACAGTTCGGTAGCACGAACAATTCGTAAACCAGGTTTTCCAGATCCAAAAATGCATTTTGCGCACTGTGTGGCATGGCATTGTTGAATTTTAGGTTGCGTTTTATTTCAGGTAAAACTACCTGTACCGAAGTTAATGATGACTATCGCCTCCACCATTATTCCCTGTAATAAATAATATGTACCGAAGTTACCGAAAATATAATTACCGGTATCTCCACCAAAATTTTCCGGTTTTACAGTGTATACTCATACCTGGGTTATTCGGACCCTGAAGTTACGGGACCGGGCATTTCATTCTACCGGCGAGTTTCAGTGGAAATATTACTACTCTTTTGGCACTCGTTTTGTGGAAATAGTCACGTCACATGCCATATCTCTGGCCTTTCCCTTTGGGCGAGTTTCAGTGGAAATATTACTACTTTTTTGGCACTTTTTTAGTGGAAATAGTGGCGTCACATGCCGTATCTGTGGCCTTTTCCCCATCAAAATGTATGTGTTTGGGAGTTGCGGACATTTCAAAGTTCCAGACAGCGCCCGGTCCCGGTTTCTCAACACGATTGTAGAGCCGGTTGTTACGCGGACGTGCGGAACTTCACTTTTACTTTTTATGAAATACAGATCTGTATTTAGCCTTGGTGTATGTCATGCTACGCTTTCACTGTACACTCCTATGACTCTTGTCCGGATCCCGACGTCGCGGGCTTCTCGGTCTACCAGACACCCTCTGGGCAAGTTTTTTTCTGTTCCTACGTTGGGTCCTCCATGGGACCTTTTGAAATATTTTTCGCATTTTCCGGGTTTATCCATGGCAACGTTCAAGCCGTGCGAAACACAAGGTACAAGCCACAGTTTCAGTTCATGCTGCATGCGGTGGGTGGATGCAGCCAACGCGTCTCCAAAGCAACTGGGCATGCGGCCAACGCGTCTCCAAAGCAACAAGGCATGCTCAGCAGCCGTGGAGAATCACGTAGAGCAAACCCAACAGCGCTGATTTTCACGCATGGAAATTACGTGCAGTTCCTACGCTACTTTCTTACGTAATTTCGTAGAGCGAAACCTCCCTATTGTGCTTGGGTTGCGGTAATACATCCTGATAGCTGTTTGGTTTCTTCTCTGCTTGATTGTTTCGTTAGGAAGGCACTGTGATATACATTGATAGCTGTTTGGTTTCTTCTCTGCTTGGTTGTTTCGTTAGGGAGGCACTGTGATTGGCACTGCCCGTTGTAAGGAATTCCGCGAGAGATGGGGACGGCGTGCAGCTGCTCTTAACTTGGTCAAGAAACGCATCACCAACCTGGTGAGTAGTTGCTAGCTCTGTGCACTGCCTGCGAGAAGGGGGATTGAGTGTGTGTGTGTGTGTGTGTGTGTGTGTGTGTGTGTGTGTGTGTGTG